TTTGGACAGACTTTAGGTACCTACTATGTTCTATATTTTTTTCTAAATTTTCTGACAAAAAGCCAATTAAATAAAATCTATATTCATTACATGGTTAGTAAAAATGAAACTTTGAATTAGTGGTTAGTAGCCATAGGCATATTAAACTTTTTGTTTGCAAAATTTTATTAACAATATTAACTCTTTTTAATGACTTTAAATAATAACTTTAATATGTTGTACCACAGTACTAACATGCAAATAAACTGAAATGTTTTTATCTTTCTTGCTAAAGATGTAGCCAGATGTTTCGCAGTATTGTAAAAATTATTTCCAGATAATATTTCGTAGAGAGTATCATATATTTCTCCCAATTGAAACCTTAGCGGACTAATTGCATCAATTCGGCTAGACCACCTAGTCTCTGGTAAGGGTTTTAGTGTTAAAAATAAATAACATTTTTCTCGGTTTTAGTGTTAAAAATAAATAACATTTTCTCTCGTGGAACTTTTTTATTATTTGGTAAAATTCGTGCAAAATAAAAGTCGGGAAATTTTCGCCCCGTTTCGTCCTTTGGACCATGATGATCCCTGTTTTGCAACAAATTTTTACAACAAATTCTTTAACTTGGGATGGAGATAATGGACCCGGCCATAAACCCGGATTCTTAGAATTGGGTTTTCTATTTCACTATTTCTGGTACCCTATCTGAATTAATCTCTTCTTCAGAGGCAGATTTTTATGCTGCTCGGTTGCACCGCATTCCGTCTGACCATCTTCCGCTTGCTTATTGCAGTATGAAGGTAACGAAATAAAATCTGGATCGCCTTGATGACCTAACTGTCACTCTTATGATAAGGAGGCTCACCTTAACATAAGAGTGACAGTTAAGTGGCGAATCTGGACAACGCGCATTCGCCCCCAAAAGGTTGGCTGACGTTGGCAACCCTGCTGGATGCCAGGCATACCAATAGGCCGGGGTGAGAGACAACATCGCAGACATCTCTCTCTCGAAGGGACAACGCCCAAGGAGAGACGCTCAGCGTTCCTTCTCAACGGGGGTCTCCATTTGCACTTTCGCGCGCGCACACCCCGCTTACGCTCTATTTATTGTTAGTTGATTAAAAGTTGTTTATTTAAAGTGTGCTTTATTGTGTGACACAAGAAAGCCCACATTGGTGACCCCGACGTGATCTGAAGCCGCAGGAGACATGGCCGCAACATGGATCGCCTTTCTCGATCTGCCCCGATACGACCGACTCACTGGTACACTTCCTCGGCAACATTGGCCCGTCCATTGTCGCCAAGCCATCTCAGCTAATACGACCTCAAGCCATCTCAGCTACTACATCGAATGCAAGTCTTAGCCACCACCAACGTAAGCGCACAGGTGATGAAGAATTTATGGCTTGACCGCTTATCACCCCAAGTTCGAGGGGTAATTTCAATCCTCGATGGGGACATCGAAGACCTCGCTAGAAAGGCCGATCAGTTCATCCAAAATGGCAGATCCGCCATTTTGTCCATCAAGGCCGTAACGCATCAACGGAGGATGCGCTTACTGAGTTAACAAATGAAGTAAGTGCACTTTCAAAAATAGTGCGACGAGAAGACCGCAACCAAAAGTCTCGGCAGAGACAAAGCATGGACAGTTCAAACTTCCAGGGTGGGCTGTGCTTTTACCACCACAAATTCGGGCCCCGAGCTAGGAACTGCAAACCACCTTGCTCGTTTGCGGGAAACGGCCGGGGCGCGTTGTAGCGGCGACAACAGCCACAGCCCAGGTACCACGTCGCCTATTCATTACGGACAAGAACCTACAGCTTCAGTTCCTCATCGACACGGGAGCTGACATCAGTGTACTGC